GGGGAGTCCAAGGGGGTCCATTTACATTTACAGACGTGGGCCAAGTCTAGCTCTGGTCATACATGAATATCAATAGATTTTCAATATAAACTGTTTTGGTCAAACTAGTTGAAAAAAATACTTTTCTATATACCTCATCACAATCAAAACAGCGTGATTTGAATAACTCCGCATAGTGTCTGCCACAGTAGAGACGGTTGTTATCATCTGAATAATAAATGAGCTTCGTGAGGAACTGCTGACATACAGTACAGGAGAAACATGATGGATGACGTAATCCTTGGCCAGCGGATACGACCATGTCGTTCTTCGTGAACACATTGCCACATCCGTCACATGACTAGAAAGAATAATGAAAAACACAATCATGATGAGAACCCTTTCTTGGAACGTTCATCTATCTCTATATGAGTCACTCGTTTGAATTTTTCCTCGTAACAATAGGTGCAAAGTGAAGTGACACTTTGCTTTGGAAATTGAGTATTGCTAGGAGGAATGTTGGTCAGAATGAGAATCAGAAAACCGGCTTTATTTTGTCAGGGACTCAGGGTGACCCACTCAGTATACAATATACTGTTATCCTTAGGGGCCCTGATATACTGGTATCCTTTGGTCGCTCAGTAGCCTTTTAAATCGGATATTCTATTCGTAAAAAAGATGCGGTTGTTGGTCAATTCAATCAAACTTGGCTGGTTAATTGTCCTTTGTAGAAGGAAAAGAATGTTTGAGGAATTAGTACTGTGAACTCGAAAATCTACAATTGACAGTTTTCTAGGCTCACGGATAATTTCTATCAAGTCTGCAATGGCCGTAGTGATAAAAAAATGAAATGGCGAACCTAACTCACTTAAAGCCTTAACTATATATGCAACTTACACTCGTATTGTTGTCAGATATCTTTATAAAGCCAGTGCCTCGAGCTTCAAGTAATCTCATATACAGGCATTTTAAAGACTGAATTTCTTGGTCTTTTGTTAAATGTTTGCACAGACTTGGATCACCATCCTGTTTCGGATTCTGGTAGGCCAATTGAGAATTGAAGTGAGCTACACCTTCAGGACTCATAGCGCTAGGAACTTTATCTCGAGGCAGCGAATTCATGAATGATTTTACCTGTAGAAGAGAAAGAATGTAGAAGTTAATGGAATTCTATACATATATGTGTCTTTAAGAGTCTCTGCTGTTCATTTCCAGGCAGTTCATTAATCTCGCACAGAGAATTTCAATCTGCATTAAAAAATCTTATGTGAGTCAATGGAACACTATATATGATGTTTGTGTGTTTTTAGAGTCTGGTCAGAATTTCTTTGCCTTAAGTATTTACTCTGTTCCCCTTCCATGGAGTCATGGACACGAAAATGCATCGCAAAAAAAAGTTGACAGTTTCACTCAGCCTTAAGACACTATTTCTGTATGTCTGCGGACTCTGTTGTCGTTGAAAATTTTCTCAGTGGCTTTTCTCCTCCCCACAGCTAGACGCGGCAAAGCGACGCGAGGTAAACAATGTCACTTTGACATCTAATCCATTTCTCCATTTGCTTCATTCTCTTTCCATTTTACTTCTGAGCGTTCTTACCTCTGTATTCTTCCTCACAGTTTGTAATTTAGTAATGGCTAATGGTGTTTTTCCTATTATTCCACAGCTTTTATAGCTTAATATACCGCACGTACAGAGCACACGT